GAAATGGCAGGAGAAAATAAAGGCAAAAAGTGAGCTAGCAATGTACTTACTTTAGCAAGCTGTCTGGATTCATTTATGGCTCCCTTTATTGACTTGCTGATAGCATTAAAGCACAGCTATGGTTGTAAAGCATTTCTAAGAATGCCGCCTGTCTTCATGTATCCCAAGTTTTCTGCTCACACTGAAAGCCAAGCTTCCCAAGTTGGCCAACTCATACCACACTAGACACTACTGTGCTAGATTAATCCATCTGCTTGGACCCAAATATCCATTTTTGGAGAATAATGGGCCTCCCTACTCCTCCCATTTTTGGTAGGAAGTTTTTATGAACATTTGGCATCTCGGTTAAACCATCGTCGTAGCCCAGAATAAAAATGACTGGATTCATATGTGGAATCCAAACTTAATTTAGCCTATATATGGCCTGAACAAAGAATAATCTACTGGCTGACACCCCCTCAGCATGTATGATAAGATGCCAACTGCTCCTCTGTGACTCCATCACTCAGATATCTTCCATGCCCAATTCCCATATTTTTCCAGGCCTGCAGCTGAAACATGGCATCAAGAGGGGACTGACAATGTTACCTGTTTCCAGCACAAAGAGAGCAAGAATCTCTGTTGTTTATGAGTATCTCTCCTTCAGAAGTTGTCCCCCTGCCTTTCCCAGTGTTCTGTTTGGAATTATGCATCCTTTTCCCGGTTTATGTGTGCATATGTACAAGTGCATGCTTGTAGAGAGCTGTGAAATTGAACTTCATGTTCTGATTGTGTGTGCCAAAAGTCTCCTTCACCTGGGAGTTAATAAAATCCATGCACAGATTTTGTTGGTTGCTTAAACTGTGGGGTTCTTCTTTCTCCCATCCCTCCCCCTTTCTGCCTGGAGAGTGGATCAAAAGTTAAATGAATGGGAAGAGACAGGAAACTACTCAAGATGTTCTTCTCCTAAACCTCCCCTGGCAAGCAGAGCTGTAACTTCCCTTCAGAGGCATCCTTTCAACACACCAGAAAACTACAGATCAAAACAAAGGGTAAGACATTAAATAAAAAAAAAAAAATTAAAACCAGAAAAAAACAAACAACAAGGAAAAAAAACCCCAAACAACAAAATCAAGTTCAGAACTCCCTTAGGTTTAGTATACTTGTTAATATTTCCCTGTCAGGTGTCCAATATAATGATTTTCCAAACCACTGCACCAGTGACACAACCAAATATTGCTAAATCATGCTCGTTTTCCACATCATGAGTTTGAGAAAGAAGACAGGTACAGATCACTTCGGATATCTTGACAGATATATTTTCCAAAACACCAGAACAGCTCAGTTTTGCCCTGGATTTAGCACTGGTAAGAGCTGCCTGTTCACAAGCACTTCAGTTTAAAGCATTCCAGTGAAAAGGGTCAATGCACAAATGATTAGCCACAATAATCCACTGTCAACATAAGGTGACAAATACAAAAATGTACAAGGACAGCATGAGTAAGAGCAGGACTGACTTTCTTTGGGGATGGAATGACTATGGAAGAGTTCCCAGCTATAAATATACAAAATTAAGCTATGCATACACAATGCTTGGCAAGTTCATCCCATGCTATAGCCTTTGTTCATGCTAGTAATTTAGATTTCTCTGTCACTTTTATGTCTGGCCACTATAAATCTTTCACATCAACATGAACGCCCCATGATTTCTACAACTGTTATTCCATCCCCTGGACTATTTCAATTGTCTTTAATATAGATTCCATGTACTGTATTGGTGGTGCAGCCCTCATTCACTGAAGTACCCCTGTGAATAAATAACTCCTCACTGATCCATCTTAGAGCTCAGCTAATAAACTGAGGACTTCTCCTGGCACAGCAGGATCCCTGGAAATCACCAGGGGGAACATGTGTCCCTGTGTCATGTCTTCTGGCTTGGTGGAGGGTGGAAGACATGCATGGTTAGAACATAAAGGCACCCAAGAGGAGATGGTAGAAACAGAAATACATCTGCTGGAGAAACCTCATGTTGGGTGAGTGTTTGCTTTGAGTTTTGAAGGGGGAGTGTTGCATCAAAATACAAGTTAGAATAACCATAACTCTGTGCTTGTCAGTGTGGTGGTAGAGGCTTGGTCAGTAGCTAAAGAGCAGGTCCTCTCCTTCCCATGGAGCAAGAGACTAATATGTTATCACTGATTACTTTCCCTCCCTACCTGAGACCTGAATAACCCACCTTCCGTGTTCATCTCCCCCAGTGGTTCTGGGACAAAGCTTTCCTTTGGGGTGAAGTGAAAAACATGCCTGTCTTTTTTTTTAGTTTTAGTCCTTTCTCCAGTGTGTTCAGAAAGAACTGAATGGCTGGTTTAGTGTTTCTGTGTCAGACACGTCTTTTGTTACACATGTGAATATTTGTACTTTCAAGTAGTTGGGCTTTTAATTCTTTGTCCATTTTTTACCTTTTGCCCCCTTGCTAGTGTAATAACTTTACTTCCTAAACCCTATCCTTTTCCTAAATACTGACCTCATCATCTCTGGGTGCTACCCCTGTAATAAAAGAAATAAAGACTTTTGGATTATGGGATCCTTTATAGACCTGCATGGAACTCATCTGGCTCTGCTGGAAGGGGTCATGTAAACCTTCTGCAACTGTTAGAGTCTGTGTGGTTTCACACCCAACAAATGTCAGAGCAGAACTCAGCTGCAACAGCCAAGTTTCATCTGCGTTTGAACCCACCAAATTCCACTTCAGTCCTTTCAACCTTGCAAGAAACCACCCAGGTTCAGTGAACAGGGCAAGAATCTGGTTAATATTTTGGCAAATATGGCTTGAACAGTGGCTCAAGAAAACCCTCGTTTTTTCCAACTTTGTATAGTCTGACCAGCCTGATAGCTGGTCCATCCTAATGACAAATAATTTCTGTTCCTTGTAGCTCTTACATTGCATAGAAACATTGAGACTGAAAGCACAACTACAGCTTGTCCTCTTTAGGCATTTGAAGTGCCCTCATTTGCAAAGTTTTGGAGGATGAAAGGAGTCTCTGGTGAAGAGGGTTGCTACCCACAAACACAGTGATGAAGATGGTGAGGCAGCACAAGATCCTCAGCTTGAAGAGAAGAGCAGAATTTGTGAAAGCCTTTTCACTGGAAAGCTTTGTGATGACACCCATCCTTGTACAACCCTCCAGAGTGGCCCTTCTCAGGCCATAAGGGATCTCACAGAAGGTGAGACAACTCACTTATCTAAGGTCAGGGCATGCCTGCAAGCTTTGGCAGATGAAAACAGAGCATGAAGAAGCACAGAATGCTTGGCAAATGTATATTTTCTGACAGCAAGGTAATTCTAGTTATAAACCAAAATTAAACAAACGTAATACCAGCCAAGGAGGACCAGACCATGCTTCTATCAGTCAAGACAAGTCACAAGAGTTTTTTTTCTGGCTCATTTAAATTTGAAGGTAGAAGTCAAAAGTTAGGTTAATCCCTGAATATGATGCCTTGAGAATGTAATGTAAAGCTCACAGAATATGACAGACCCTCTGCAAATTTAAGTCAATTGCCCAATGCCAGTGGATTTATTCCCTTACAACACTTTGCAGATGAACCACTGTGTCCTTAACGCACCCAGACCTCAGCCAGACTCTCAGATTTGGATGTTCTTTCAAAAAATATTCCATTCCTTTGTTGACCCAAATTTACTTCAGTTTTTGGCATTCATTTCACAAGGGTGTCAGACAAAAACCCTGACACCTTGACCACCACTAACAACCAAAGCACCATGTGAGTCAACACCTCTATGCACAGATGAAATTAAATGTTATGCCTTTTTTCATACAGTATTAATGAGATCTTATGTCTCAGAACACTCAGCTGTATTGGAAGCACAAGACTCACCCAAACCATTGAACGTAAGAGGTATCACCCAAAGAAAAATGGGCTACAAGAAGAAAAGGCTACAACCCCACTGAGAAGCTGGATGGTATGACTTTGAGTGCCCTTGAGAGAGCCCCACAGCACAACATGTTATCCTAACCCAGAACAGCAGAGAGTGGACAGCCCTTGGGGGAGAGGGGAAAGGTCAGGAATAAGTTAAGGATACCCAGCTGGGTGATGAGGAAAATAGTGACCTCAGTGCTGGAAAAAAATTTACATAATCTCCCCTGTGAAATAATACCAGACATAGGGTAAATGAAAAGGTATTGATCTAACTTCTGCCAGCTAGCAGCTTGTCAGGCCAAGGCCATGTATTATTTTCTTTGACTATGTTTCCTGCCTCAAATCACTTGCAGTATTTTCTTTGCAGTATGATAGCAACACTAAAATGTATCATTGCCACATATTGGAAGGCCTGTGTTGCACGCACAGTACTTCCATCAACTATTTGGGACTCTCCCATTACTTAAACTTCTGGGAAGTCTGAAAAAAGAATAATTTATTGGCTGACACTCCCTCAGCATGTATGATAAGATGCCAACTGCTCCTCCATGACTTTCTTTTATATCCAATTCCCATGTTTTTTCAGGCCTGCAGCTGAAACATGGGATCATGAGGGGACTGACAATTTTACCTGTTTCCAGCACAAAGAGATCAAGAATCTCTGTTGTTTATGAGTATCTCTCCTTCATAAGTTGTCCCCCTGCCTTTCCCAGTCTTCTGTTTGGAATTATCCATCCAGAGGGATTTTTCTGAGCTGCTTTTAGTTAATTTTTGATTGGCCATAATATTCACCACAGCTATCATGACAACGTGTAACAAGACAACAGTTGGAAATACTCTTTTCATGGGCTGTGACCTTGGATGGCTGTGCAGGCACTGAGGCCATTGCTGGGCCTGAATTTGCACAGATACGAGTGACTCCATCTACAGACCACTGGAGACTCCATGTCTCTTGCCAGCGACTTTTCACTGAGTGGAAACACACAATTGCCCTATTGAACTCCAAGTTATGAACGTTTGCAGGAAAGGTAAGAGAAAACCATCCCAAACAGATCCCCACAGCACTGCAGGGACAGAGACACCCTTACCTACTCGAAGCTCTTGTCCAAAGACCGTTTTCTCTCCCAGAGCAGAGCAGTTCCACCTCCCGTAGCGGAACTGGTACTGGCACTCATTGATTCCCATCTGTGCCCCTTCGCCGATCACGATGATGGCATCAGGGCGGCTCTGGCAGATGGCGCGCTGCCGAGGGGCCAGGCCTGGGATTTTGTTGCAGATTATGTTAGCTCCTAAAGCCACCACGGATGATAAAGCTCTGAAGAGAAAAGCAGAAAGATGTGTTATAACCAAATTGAGGTGAGCAGGAGCTGCTGTGTGGCTGGCGGGGTGCTGTGCAAAAGGGGAAGGGTCGGAGGTTGAGTTCCTGTAATTATGCCAACTTGGCACAGTGTCTCTGGTCTGGTATAGCAGCCTGGAAATCTTGCAGTAATTCCTGATCTGGTTTGTGCCAGAAGAAACAAAGAAATTTAATTTTGGCACTTTTGTTTCCAGACATTAGCTTGTGAGATGTGGAAAGAAAGACTTATTTAAAATCGAAATATAGTGATAAGCAATCATCCACAAATCTGTAAATGCAGGTTCAGAATTAATGTTTTAGGTACTGTAGCCAGTTCATTCACCCCTCATTTGAAAATATTAAGCACAATTTAGAAAATGACCTGGCACTACCAACTCTCTTGCCCATTGTTACGCTCAGGGTATTGAATGATTAATGAAGTTCACCAGCATAACTGTGCTTTTAGATCTGGCAAACATCATGGAGCACATAGGAGTTGTCCTTAATATGTGCCATCCACGCTAGAAACATTTGCAGTTCTCATTCCTCAAGTATATTTTCAGAATTCATTATGAAGTTTGCATATAACATGCACCTGCCATATGTTTTCACTTGAGAACATTTATTTTTCATTTTCCAGCTCACTTTTCAACATCTTTACAGGCTCATTTTTCAACATATTTACAGCCTACATTTTAAATGGTAATATTTTGAAAAAAATAGGACAACATGGGTACATGTTCAGTGATGCCTCTGGTCACATCTACTGAATACCCTCCAGGCCCGTGGAGATGCTTCAGCTGGCTCTGGACAGACAGACAGACTGCCCATGATCCTACTTCCCACCTTGAACACCAGGCCAGGCCTTTCATCATAGTGTTAAAAATTTCCCACTGGAAATGCTCCCTTGGGGAAATGCTGACTAATCAAAATTAAAGAATTATGTAAGACTTTGTCAATTCATCACAAGGTAACTGCAAAGTTACATAAATGCTGCATTTCAATTAAATCAGAGTGTTTAATTTTGTCAATTTAATAGGATACAGTAAATCCAGAGCAAAGAGGGTGAAATACTGCTATTCCTGTGGAATGGATATTCCATGATGATCCACTCTGCCTTTAGTAGGTATTTTTGCACTTTTTCCAAAGTTAACAGTCCATGAAAAATTCACCACTGGTGGGTTTTTATTTATGGCGGTGCAGGGGGGTTATGGATACAGAAATAAGGGCATCACCCAGTATGTGCATGTTCTCTGTGTTCTGCCTATTAAACAGAAGTAAGAACAAAAAGTAGTTTCAGTCTGACCACTCTCAGTATTGGAGCAGGAGTGCTTGGATCTGCAGCTTTAATTTGTGTTCCTCTGGATGCTGAGCAACAAAGCTGGAGCACCAACTGGAGTCAGAGAGTCCCTGAGATTCATGCAGGTTTTTAGTTCAGGGTTGTTTTTTTTTTCTGGCAAAAAGTATTTCTCCTCTTTAAAATTAAAAAAAAAAATTTAAATAGTGATGCCTTTAAATTAGGACTTTCGAAGAGATGTTATAATCTTAAAAAAATATTATGTTTAACACAGGGACAAGTTTCTCCTTACAGTGGCTTATGACCTTAATGTTATGGCTTCAGAAAGTAATGAAAATCACAGAGTACATTTTTTTTTTTTTTTTGAAAATCAGTATATTTTTGAAAATCAGTACATTTTTTTGTCTTTCTTTTTTTTTTTTAAATCACTTTTCAATATTGAAAATAAAAGGGCTCTTCAAAAGCTCATGGAGCTTTTCTCTCTCTGACTTCATCCACTTTCCACACAAAGTAGGATAGACATCCTGAATATATTCATTAAAATACAAAGGAAAGCATTTTACCTTAACAGATGATGTGCCTAATACAGAAACAGAGGCTCTTTGATGGTACTAAAATGCTGTGCCCCATTCTAGCCCCATCTCCTCCACCTGGCTTTGCCCATTTCCCTGGGACAGACCAGGTGCCCAGGATTCCTGCAAGACCTTCCCACCTGGAATCGCATTTCCACTGCTGCTTCAGACACCGACCCTTCCAGGAAAATCTAGCCCTGAGCAAATCTGTGGTTGTCTCCTAAGAAAGAGACATGCACAAGGCATTCAAAATCCCATCTGATGCTTGGCACATGCACAAGACACCCAGTTCTGGTCTTGTAGCTGCCTGATGGTCACCAAGTTACTGAGGCCATGCCACCAACTTACTAGCAAAACTCACACCTAAAAATTATTTGTGTGTTACGTAAACAATTTTTCAAAAATTAAAAAATTGATAAAACTGTGCAAAAACTTCCTGACATCATTTTTTTAAACTGCTGGGCATCCACAGTTTCCACCAACTATTCTCAAGTTGAGCAGCAAAAACCTTACGACTTTCAAAACAAAGGAAAGCAAGAATTGGCCACAGCCTCTGAACATATAATTTTCAGCTAAGTTGCTTCCTTCATACATGTCCCTGCAGTCTCATAATTAGGTTAAGGAATATATTCTTTGGGCTCCCATTGTTTTTTGGAGCAGGCTTTGGTCAAAATATTTTAATACAGTGGGTCGGTTTATTCATCCAGGAAATAAGCACAGTCATACCTGCTTCAGAAGGTATTGTGAGGGTTTTGTGTTATTATAATTATAATTATTGTGTGCTTGTGAAATGTATTATAACAATTAAACTGCAATTATTGGGGGTGGAAGGGGTCTTGGTTTTTCTATTACTTCCAGAAACTTCCCCCCCTCTGGCCTGAACTTACCAGCATATTCCCTCAGCCTTGTTTAGCCTACTTTTAAATTGTTACACTGCCAAAAGAAATGCTGAATCATGAAACTGAGGTTTTGGAAAGCTTTATTTTTATTAAAGAAATGCACCCAACAGCATTTCAAGCTTCCTCTCCTCTATTTCTTGTGGCCTCCCTCAGTTTGTGCATCCATCACACATTTGGGAGGGTTGTGATGAGCTCCTGCCCCTTGGCAGGTTGAAGGCTAAATTTCTTTTTTTCCAATTTATAGCTGTCAAAAGGCAGATCCTCCATGCCACATTTTGGCATCCTCTTTCATCTAATCTTTCTCTGTGGTGCAAATTGCCTTGATTCTTATCACCAGAAACTCCTGAGCGTGGCATTTTGTTAAGATTTCTGATGCAGTTTACAGTAATTGCAACCATCCTGCACCACAACAGCCTCCACACGGCTCAGAGTGTTCTGCTGGGTCACCCACATGGGCTATTCCATTAAACACCATCCACATGGCTTATCCAGATAAACAGAGTGAGTGGAATAATGGCACATTTCCTACGGAATCGTCATTAGTGCCTGGCATAAGGAGAGATTTGACATTTCTTCATGCCTATGCCATTAACGCAAGGGAAACACCAGCACTGAAATTGAGCAATATTTGTAAACACTTATGCCCAAATTTAAACAACAAAAACAACAATCCCTCCCCCCTCCCCCCCCCCCCAAAAAAAAAAAAACAACACAGGAAAAACCAAAAAAACCCAACAAAACCAAACAAACAAAAAACCCACGCAGGAACAAACAAAAAAACCCATCAGAGCTGGGCTTGGATAGGACCTTGCAGTTCAAACTTCCATCATACTACACCTGATGAACAAGAATTTGGAGGGCTTGGTTTCTGCATAAGAATTCTGAAAGATCAGGGGTTTTTTTTCAAGATCACTTGAAAAAATAACTAGGACAGTGTCACAGCAAGCAGAAAAACACGGCGGTGGGAGACAAGTTTCAGCCTATTTTCTGAAATAATGCTTGCTTACTTATGCAAAGACAGATAAATCCTATCACAAAAAGAGAAATTTCTCCTTCCAAATGTATTTCCTGTTACAGTTGTATCTCCTCTGTAGCACCTAAGCAACTCCAGCTCCCCTTTTCACAAAGTGAAATGGAAATTATTAGATATTCTAAGTGAGTCATAAAAGTAAAGGTCTTTGAAATGCTTCAGAAATTAGGCACGAAGGCCACTTGAGTTTTAAGAACTGCTTGTTGGAAGAGAAATGTACTCCTCATTCCTGGTTGGCTTGCTGGAGTCTCCATTTTATGTTTGCAAAAGCAAGAATTCACTTAACTTGAGCATGAGTAATTTCATTGATTTCAAATATTATCATGTCCTTCCAACTTCTGATTAATTTTACATATAAGAAGGTCATCATGTGAACTGCAGTTTACAGAGTCTTTGCATGAGTGGAAAATATATAAAGTAAATCCTTATAATGGACAGCTGTACAAGCACAGGAGAGGAAAAAATTTAAATTTTATTCTTGTTAAAAGAATCTGAATTTTGATAAAATTATGAAAGAGAACTGTCTACTTATAGATGAAGAGCAGTAACTGACCAATCTTCGGAATTGTCCCCAAGCTCCTGCACAGGCACAGGTGAGTACTGGTATTCCTCCTAGGAGCTTAATATACTATTCTGACAAATACATGACAAAAGATGTGAAATAAGAGATTAAACCAACTACACATTGCATACAGGTGAAACAATCAAGTTGATTTTAACCTTTTGGTTAAAAAAACTAAAAAGTTGCCTTAAAAATTCTCTGCCAATCTGTGCTCCCTGGGCAAATTACATTTTATTGGCGCTCAGGACTGGTGTCAAGAACGTCTTCTCTTCCAGCACCATCCCTCACCTGCATTCCTGACTGCACAACAGCCCAGCACACACTTCCCACCAAACCAGCCCTGCTGCAAGCCCTTGGATAACAACTGCAGGGTCACTGTGATCCCACCCCAGCTCTGCTTTCTGACATTCACCTGAAACTGCTCTTGGGAAGAGGGCTTGTTTTCAGCAAGGAACGAAGGCATTTAGCCACACGAACCCCATTAACAGCAGAGGAGTTGTGCAGCTTTTTGGCACACTGTACAGAAAACTTACCCCACCATCTCTGACAAAAAAAAAAAAAAAAGAAATCCACACAGAGGATTCTTTGTTAGCAGGAGCCACCGAGGTATTTTGTGGTG